CCCACAGTGAAGGTGGAATAAAAATGCTGCTAGTAATATGACAATTATTACGATTTATGAGTTCTTCAGTCTAAGAAATTCAGTAGTGAAGAAACACAAAATACATGTCTATCTTTTACATTTACTTATTATATATCAGCATGTATTGACTGACATTTAGGATGAATATACATGTACATGACATATGTGTCCAGAAATGTCTTATATAAACATAAACACACAAATTTCTATAGGCCAGATGTGTGTTAATATATGAAAATCAGTACAGTGAATTAGTTCTAAAGAAATGCAAAGAATAAGACTAGAGCATCACATTTGATCTCTACCAGTGTTATTTTAGAATCACTGACACACTATAAACATTTTTTTAAATTATTATGGTTTTATTATTTGTATTTTTTATTTTAAGTTTAATTTTAGTTTAGATTTAGTAATTTATTTGTGTGTGAGGTTTTTTTTGGCCATGTATTATTATTTTTAAATATGGTGATATATTTTTATTAATTTTTATTTCAGATTGATCAGTTTTAGTTTATTATTTATAGGGTTAGTTCACCCCAAAATGAAAATTATGTCATTAATTACTCACCCTCATGTCGTTCCAAACCTGTAAGACCTCCGTTCATCTTCAGAACACAAATTAAGATATCCGAAGATGAACGAATTTTCATTTTGGGTGAACTAACCCTTTAAGTACATCCAGGTAAACTACATGAAAAGGAGAAATGTTGCCTTGTCAACTAGCTGAAATAAAATAAGCTTTTTTATATTTTATTTTAGTTAATGTTATTTCAAATAACTTTTTTTTTTTTTTAGTTTAATTTACTTTTTTTCTAAAATAACTTTTTTTTTTTTTTTGGATGGATGGATGGATGGATGAATGTGGTAATGATGCTTATAAAATGCCAAAAGTTTGCATGCCAACAACTTCCTAACAATACTTTGCGATTAAATGTGGACACCTGTTGCATTAAGTATACGGGAAAAGTGATCAAATTTTTTATGACTATGTAATTACAACATTTTCTGGGAAGCTGCGCTGCGTTCACTATCGACTCTCATCGAATCTCTGTGTGCCAAACATTCATTCGCACGCATCAACAGAGTTGTAATGACTCTGAGTCTAATAAGAGTCAAATGAGAAAGTGCTGATGCTAAAGTGGCACGAGGGAATCCCAGCCTGTCAACTCAGCACGTCATCTGACACACACACACACACACACACACACACACGCACGCACACCCAGGGGCGGACTTACCCATTAGGAAAAGGTAGGCGACCGCCTTGGGTCCCCAAAAGCCAAGGGCCCCCTAAAATGCTTTTCATATAGGATATGCGCATCAAGCGCTGACATGCGAACTGTTGCTGTTTACAGTGTTTATTACCACGACAACCGTCCGAGTCAGTGGTGCCTGCAGGTGTACGGCTGCACTGTGAGTCATGAGCGCTCAGACTGATCTGAGATTTGCCCCGCAAACATTTCAGCAGTTATTATAGGCCTATGTGTGCCATATTTCTGTCGAACCCATGCCGTTAATTATGAATTTATCAGTCTTTTGCATGCCAAAGTCAATTTCTGCATAGAAATATTACGCCAAATAGAAGCAGAAAATCGTGCTATACGCACTTTCATGAGATCGGGTTAGCCTACAACAACCAAAGTCAATTTCTACATAGAAATATTATGCCAAATAGAAGCAGAAAATCGTGCTATACGCACTTTCATGAGATCGGGTTAGCCTACAACAATTAATTTGTTGGCTATTTTACAAATGGGAATACAACGAATTCATGCCAATGTTTCACATTTAAGCTACCCGTTATAGTGAAAAGTACTTTAAAATCGTCTGGAATGCAATAAAGTAATTTAAAAAATTTTTTTTAAGCATTTGCTGCATGGATAAAAAATAGGCTAATAAATAATTCACATATCATACAAAATTGTGTTGCAGCAAATCCTTTAAATTTTAAGGTATTCAGAACAGAGCAACATAAAAATCAGAAAAAGCAGCTATACAATTATAGGACAAAGTTTTACATATATGCCATTATAATTTGTGTTTTATTCAAATTAATTTTATGTAATTATAAAATAAAACGCAAATTATAATCGGGCCTGTTTTAGGCTTTTCCTTATTTTTATATTTTAGACATCCATCAATTATGGTGATGAAAAAAAAATGACTCGCCATCTCCTCATTGGATGTGCCTTTAGAGAGTAATGCACGGATTACATAACGAAAGAGTTTCCATTTTCGATTTGAATAATTTCGTTTTAAAGTAGTAATTTAAAGCTTTCTATATATTTGTATCATGTCTGTGAGGCAATTCGCTGAGTTTAGGTTCATCATTGCACTCTCAGAAAAAAAGGTACAAAAGCTGTCACTGGGGCGGTACCTTTTCAAAAGGCACACCTTTGTACCTAAAGAGTCCATATTGGTACCTTAAAGATACATATAAGTACCTAAAGTGTACATATTAGTACCTAAAAAGTACAAAAGTGTCCTTTTTGAAAAGGTACCGCCCCAGTGACAGTTTTTGTACCTTTTTTTCTTAGATTGTGTGAAGCGCTCCTGTTCAAGACTGAGACGGCAGAAAGTGTTTGTTTTCTTTATTTTATAAAAGCACAACGTTTTGTTGATATTGTGAGTGCACACAAATAAAACCAGACCCTTTACAGTTTATAATGATGTATTACTCTTACTTTTATGAGCAAAAATGGCTGCGTATTTTAAGTTGTTTGCACCATTAGAAAAAAATGCAAGTGATCGCGCCGGCGCCTCCGTGTGCTGCCGAGCGCGCTTTAGCTTCCACTCTCCGCACAAACGATTGGATATGCACCCTGCTTGAAGGAGATGAAAATACTATGCATCTGAAGCTGTAATTAAATTTTGAGAAACAGTGTGTATTACATGTTTATAATTGTTTTAAATGCCACTTACTCATTTATGAGAAGGAACCAAGTAGAGGACACAGTTACTTTAGTGGTTGATATAATCCTTAGTGTGTAAATGTATAATTGCCTTTTCATAATTTTTTCAGTTTTATTTAAATTAATCAATTAATCAAAGTCTGCCGCTGGCCGTTATTAAAAAAAAAATTTAACGAACAAAAAAATGCTCCAAACGTTTTTCTAAATTAACTTCCACCCAACATAACCCCGTTTTAAATTAATATAATAATTTATAGTTCTGGCTCACCCCTGGTTTAAACGCTCAATTGTGAGGTTTGTTATTTTATAATTTATTTTGTTTTTGTGAAAACCTGTATCTCAACTGTCTTTCGTTGAGTTTAAAACGTGTGACACATTCGTTCTACTCTCACTGATCCCTCAAAAGAAATCCTGCAGGCGGCCCAGGTCCGAGTTGAACGTGCTTTTTGTGTACCCTGCTTGAAGGAGATGAAAATACTATGCATCTGAAGCTGTAATTAACGCACACCTCTGTCTGACTCTCTGCCCCCAGCCTTTCTCTCCTCTCTTTCTCTGACCCTCTTCACCTGCCTGCTTATTAAAATCCCATAGTATTAACTCTGCTGCTCACGACCAGGCTGAATAATTCAATCAGACTAAAAGAGTCAAATGAATCTTTAATGGCATTAAAGCCACAGGGCGAGCGAGCCGGACTCTGGCCTTCACCTGAGACGCTCGACAGCCACAAACGCTCTCGAGAGCCACGGATCCAGATCAGACGATGAGAGACAGAGTCCAGCTGAGAGAGATCAGCTCTGTTCAGGGCTAGAGTCCTGTTATTGCGCTCTTCACATTCGTTTCGCATTTACCCTCACATTAAATATAATTACTACAACGCCATTGAGAGCCATTAAGGATAATTTTTTCAGTTTTATTTAAATTTGTAGTTAAAATAACTAAAAATAAATGTATTTTAAAGTTTAGAATTACACAGCCTTTGCACACAGGCTCACGCTGGTAACTCATCAGTGGACTTGCCTCGTCAATATAGGCTATATTTATTCTATATTTCTGACGTTCCAAAAGCGCCTCCTGCTGGCAGAGAATGAATGTTCATTTTCAATAATCCAGTCTGTAGTTTTTGTTCAGACAAATACGAAAATCCACCCACATAACCCCATTTTAAATTAATACAGCCACAAACGCTCTCGAGAGCCACGGATCCAGATCAGACGATGAGAGACAGAGTCCAGCTGAGAGAGATCAGCTCTGTTCAGGGCTAGAGTCCTGTTATTGCGCTCTTCACATTCGTTTCGCATTTACCCTCACATTAAATATAATTACTACAACGCCATTGAGAGCCATTAAGGGACTCAACCATGACTCTTTTTGACTGTCGGGCCAGAGCCCAGAATAGCGAGCATTAATATAAGAGATATCTACCAAAAAAAGTATAGCATTCATCATATCTTCTGCTATTGGCAGTGGAGACTTTTACATCTGTCATGTGAACACACAACTATTATTCTGTACATTTACACTAACGCTCAAAAGATTGTAATAAGTCAGATTTTTTTTTTAAAGAAGTCTCTTCTACTCACCGTAATTTGAGAAAAAAAATAATACCATTTAAAATAACTGGCTCCTATATGAATATATATATATATTTTAAATAATTTATTCCTGTGACAGTAAAGACATGTATATAATGTTACAAAAGATTTTTATTTAAAATAAATGCTGTTCTGTTGAACTTTGTATTCATCTGTGAATCCTGAAAAATTAAATTGATCAGTTTCCACAAAAATATTGTGCAGCGCAACTGTTTTCAACATTGAGAATAATCAGAAATGTTTCTAATAATCATCAGAATGATTTCTGAAGATCATGTGACACTGAAGACTGGAGTAATGATGCTGAAAATACAGCTGCGCATCACAGAAATAAATTATAGTTTAACAGATATTCACATAGAGTTTTTACAGCATTTTTGATCAAATAAATGCAGCCTTCTTTCAAAAACATTAAAAAGCCTTAATAATTCCAAACTGGCGTATACAATTCTACAAAATATCGTAAGTAACTGACCTGATTTGGCTTCTTCTAATTCTTTGGCTTCCTCGAGTTCTTTCGCTTCTTCCTCTGTGAGGAGAAAAACAGACGAGAAGGAATGAGTTTAGAGTCTCCAAACAAATGCAGTCACATCATTTTCCTCAGGAGGCAGATGCACAGACATGCATTCACAGACGCAGTTCAGGAAAGTCTGAAAATGTCTGATTTTGCCAACATTCAACCTTTGTGGCCCACAGGAGGAAATCCATGTGAAAAGATCAAGACTAGTCAAGCAAGCTTTCCAAAGATGTCTGCTCTAAAATACACTAGATTTGAAATCACACGCTTTACACAATGTCAAGGAGCTGCGATCACTTTCTCTACAGTCTACTGTACATTTAATCCAATGTGATTTTTTTTTTACATGACATCCCCTTTTTTTCTCTTCTCACAGCCAACCAATGCAACACTAGTTCAATGTTGGCAAATGCATTAATAAAAGGACAATTATAACAAGATTAATGCATTTTATTCACACAATCACAGTTTTATTTATCTTATGTTATTTTTTCTATTTTATTTATTTTTAAGGTTATGGAAAATGCAAGTGTGCTATACAACATGCTACACCCAGTGTTATTTTAGTATGACATATTAATATAGTTTTTTTTTTTTTTTTATATTCTGAATTGTTTTTATATGTATTTGCTGTATTCATGTTAATTTTAAAGCAATGTTGTTGCGTTTTTGTCCATTTTTAGTTTTTTTTTAAAATACGTCTATCGTTTTTATTCATTTTTATTTTTGTTTGATATTATTATTATTATTTGATATAAATAATATAATTTCTGTATTCTATGAAGACAGAAGCCACAGAAATTAACCATCTATCCTGTACTTATATACATATTTATTTCATACCTTTAAGAAAATATTGTTATCGAACCCAAATAGAGGATTGCCGATGATTCACATTGAGATGAATAAATGGAAACATTTGATCAAAAGTGAGGAGGAGCAGAACTGAATGGAGAGAAGCAGGAGGCCAGAGCTGAGATCAGAGAGCTGATTGTTGATTTGGCTGTGTGGTGGCTCTCGGGCCCCGTATCCGGATAACAGCCCAATCTCTGGAGCTGCTCGCTCTGGTTAGGATCCGCTCAAACTCTCCACACACATTATGACATCAGGAAAAATTAATTAGTGAGCGCTAGAGTCTGACCGAGTCTGAGGACACGAGTGTCCAGACCAATCTCCTGCAGAGAACCTGCAGCCACAGCGGAGCAGACCGCATCTATTACACTGTGCCTCCTCACACACACAAACACACACACACACACTCACAGACACACTCACTCTATCTGCAGCTGCTCACTACACCTCCTTACACACACACACACTCACTCACTCCTACACCTCCATACACACTCACTCCTGCACCTCCTCACACACACACACTCACACACACTCACTCCTGCACCTCCTTACACACTCACTCCTTCTACACCTCCTTACACACTCACACACACACTCACTCCTTCTGCACTTCCTCACACACTCACACACTCACTCACTCCTTCTGCACCTCCTCACACACTCACACACACACACACACACACTCCTTCTACACCTCCTTACACACTCACACACACACTCACTCCTTCTACACCTCCTTACACACACACACACTCACTCACTCCTACACCTCCATACACACTCACTCCTGCACCTCCTCACACACACACACTCACACACACTCACTCCTGCACCTCCTTACACACTCACTCCTTCTACACCTCCTTACACACTCACACACACACACACACACACACACCTTCTACACCTCCTTACACACTCACACTCACTCACTCCTTCTGCACATCCTCACACACTCACACACACTCAATCTCTCTCTCTCTATGTGTGTGTGTGTGTGTGTTGGCGAAAGCAGCACATTAATACAGAAAAATGATCAAACTGACTTGGAACTACCTGTTCATTAAACGGTTTTAATGCATACCTGCCGGCCAATCAGAATCGAGTATTCAGACAGACCATGGTATAATTTAATATATTGAATATTATTTCAACTATTAAATGTAATTATTTAAATAATTTTATTTAATCTATTTATATAATTTCATATAAATATTTATATTTGTTTATTATTTGCAGAATTGCCATTTAATATAATTATTTATTTTATATAAATAATTGTATTTAATCTATTTTATATAACTGCACACAAATATTTATATTTACAATAAATATTATTATTAAATATTAATTATTATTATTAAATTAATATTATTGAAACCATTCCTAATAATTTATTTTATACAGATAATGGTTACACTTTATTTTAAGGTGTCCTTGTTACAGTATAATTATACATTTAAGTATGAGTAATATTCATTAACTACATGTACTTACTTTATGGTTAGGGTTAGGATTAGGATTAGGGTTTGGCTCAGGGTTACTTGCATGTAATTATGCATAATTAATTGTTATTATAATAGTAAATACATGCAATATGTGTAACAAGGACACCTTAAAATAAAGTGTTACCCAAATAATTAGTATTTTTATTATTTATATACAATTAATTTCTTAATAAGTGGTCTAATAAACGAAGTTGTATAATATACAGTAAGCTAAGCTGCAAAACATTTCTGCAGTTTTAGCCATGCCAAACTGAAAATGTTATTGACTAAAAGCTGATGACAAGCTGCAACAGCAGCAAGTTCAGACGTGGAAAAGACTAATTACAGTGCCACATTTCAGCTCAAAAGCCAGGCCACTGACGGGGAGACGAGAACAGCAGGAGTGGAATGGGAAAGCGGAGTATCTGGCTCACTCAACAACTCAATTACTTCAACAGACTGCTGACCCGTTCACCGAATCTTATTCCAGAATTCCTGCATGGGTTACTGGAGAAAGAGTTGGTTTATTTGCTCTGGTCTCACCACGCGTTCATTCCATTCCATTTCACTGTTTGCTGTGGTTCTCCGGCCAGATATTTACTCTTTCTCCCACTCTCTGTCTCGCAGCTGTAGATGTATTTTTAAAAGCCCAGGAGTCCCGTGCAGTGCTGCAATGACCTTTATTTAAATGTCTCCTGCTCCACACACAGACCTCATTACGCCTCTCGTTCCCTTCACGTGACGGCTGAATCCATCTCTATCTCTCTGCCAGCACTTCTCCTCCACACATCAGTCTTTCTTCCTGTCATTTCAACCTCCAAGTTCTGCGCTCCCTAGTTACACGGCTCGACTAATTATCTCATGGCGCTAATGAACTTCAGCAACACTGGAGGAGAGTGGGGTTTTGGCAGAACGGGACTCCTCTGGCTTTAGCATTCAGCTCAGAGGACCTGAGCTTCACGGACCCCCAAACATGGTTATTCCCTTGTGAGGGACCTCCTTTCTAAGATCAAAGCTGATACATAGACTTTTATGTATTACATTGTTTTAAATATTATCTGAAAAATATTCACTTTCTATTAAGTGGACATTGTATCTTTTTTATGTACCATTATAGTACTGCTAGATGCATACAGCTAAAAGCAAGAAAACTATGGCTGTCACTATATAATATAATAAAACATTTGGTGATTAATCTCATGATTTCATTTGATTTATTAAAAATTATTGGTTACACTTTACAATAAGGTTCATTAGTTAACATTAGTTAACTACATTTGTTAACATGAACTAATAATTCTGCAGCATTTATTATTCTTAGTTAATGTTAACTTCAGCATTTACTAATGCATTATTAAAATCACAAGTTGTGTTTGTTAGCATTAGTTAATGCACTGTGAACAAACATGAACGAACAATGAACGACTGTATTTTCATTAACTAACATTAACAAAGATTAAAAACAGTGTAATAAATATTGTTCATTGTTCGTTCATGTTAGTTAATACATTAACTCATGTTAACAAAACTACATTTGTTAACATGAACTAATAATTCTGCAGCATTTATTATTCTTAGTTAATGTTAACTTCAGCATTTACTAATGCATTATTAAAATCACAAGTTGTGTTTGTTAGCATTAGTTAATGCACTGTGAACAAACATGAACGAACAATGAACGACTGTATTTTCATTAACTAACATTAACAAAGATTAAAAACAGTGTAATAAATATTGTTCATTGTTCGTTCATGTTAGTTAATACATTAACTCATGTTAACAAATGACACATTGTAAAGTGTTACAAAATTATTTATGTATTTACAATATTTAAATATAATTTTTTTAAATGTGTATATATATATATGTGTGTGTGTGTGTGTGTGTTTATTTTTCATATATAATTTTTCTCCTTTTTTTAAATTCAATTTATAACGTGGTTAATATCATGATTTAATTTTTAAAGGGGTCATCGGATGGAAAATTCACTTTTACATGTTGTTTGAACTGAAATGTGTGTTGGCAGTGTGTACACATCCACCCTGTAATGATAAAAATCCACCCAGTGTTTTTTTTTTAAATATTGATGAATCATGACCCCTTTCTAAAATCAAGCCGTTCACAGATTTTTGTCTGTGTGATGTCACATAGACCCAGGCCCCTCCCACGATTGTTTGATTGACACTGGTGTTTTATCTTAGACCCGCCCTGAGTGAGCTGTAAACAGTCCTCCATTGTTTCGACGGCGGAGCAGGAGTAGAACAGAATGACTCCTGAGTTATTGAGGTGTTTTGTTGTTGGATGTAATAATGAACATAGCAGTCGTCATTTACTCCTGACATCTGAGCCGCTGAAGACGCAGTGGATTACGTTTTTCAAGGGAATGCGCCCCCGATCTACATAAATGTGTCTATGTTCATGCGAATCATTCGTGATCCCGCTTCACCTACAGAAGAAGTGAGTATAAGGTTTTTTAATTAATTTAGCAAATCACCTTTCCTAATAATGTACTAGTTAGCAAGTTTCACGATGAATGCGGTTAAAGTTTACCATCTCTCAGAGAACTGCGCATCACCCCACAGAAGAGAGGGGCGGGGTCAGTGGAGCTCATTAGCATTTAAAGGCACATGCACCGAAACGGCTCGCCGGGGACAGAGGAGTTTTTGACAGGTTAAATGGGTGATGTTTTACACTACCATTGAGAAATTTTAACCAAACGATGTTACAGACTTTTCATTAAGACCCTAAAGAATCATATCAACTTGTGGAAAATGGGCATCCGAAGACCCTTTAAATTTAATTTATTGGTTTATTCTTATTTATATTTCATTATTTATTTATTTTGAATTAATTATCAATATTATCATATTAATATCAATTATATTATTATTTATTTCTAACTACATAATTGAAAATTACATATATGTAATTTAATTAATATTAATATTTCAAGTAATATTTAAATGTATATTTCAATGTATTTTCATATACACCTTTTTATTCAATGTTTTTCTAATTCAACTTATAATTTTTACATTGTATAACTTTTTTTAATCATGTGGTTAACGTGATTAATTTCATGATTTATTTTTAAATGTAATTTATTGATTTATTATTTTTACATTTCAAAATTAATTTTATTGATTTTTAATTAATTATCATATTGATTAATTGTATTATTTTAATTACATAATTAAAAATTAAATATATGTAACTTAATTAACATTAACACACACACAGACTTTATTATACTTTACTACATATTTATATATAGGAGTAAAGACCATTGAAACATTCTCTCATTAGTAGGCCTCGTGTAGCCAGAATTGTGTCTAGTGGCATGAAGTTTGACTTCTGGACATTTAGAGTGACCCACCACAGCTGGTTTAAGGCCGGTCTAAAATAATACACGATAATATGAAAGTGTGTCGAGGCCATGACATCTGAGAATGAGACCAGGCCTAAACTCAGCCGCACACGTTAAGAGTGGATGAGGATCCAGAGATGTAGACTATGGTTATGTAATGTGTTCCTCACCGGCTCTCATCTCCTCACAGCTCTCTTTGATCTTCCTGCGGCAGACGGCGGCCAGAGCGACCAGTAGAGCCAGCAAACACACAGCCAGAGCCACGGTCAGCCAGAGCGCCAGCGGAGGAAACACCAGACCCTGAGCTGCAGACAGAGAGACATGAGCTTCATCATCAGCATCAGCAGCAGCATCAGCATCATCAGCAGCAGCAGCCTCATCATCAGCATCATCATCATCAGCAGCAGCAGCAACCTCATCATGAGCATCATGAGCATCATCAGCAGCATCAGCATCATCGTCATAAGCATCATCAGCAACAGCATCGTCATCATCATCAGCATCAGCAGCAGCATTAGCATCATCATCATCATCATCAGCAGCAGCAGCATCAGCATCATCAGCATCATCATCATCAGCAGCAGCAGCCTCATCATCAGCATCATCAGCAGCAGCAGCATCAGCATCATCAGCAGCAGCAGCCTCATCATCAGCATCATCATCATCAGCAGCAGCAGCAGCAGCA